TTTTCATCATTTTTTTTAAATTTTTTTTTTAAAAAACCTGAAATAGAAACTTAAAAGACCAGAAAATACATTGCTCAATTTTTTAATTTGGGTGTAAAAATACCAAACTTCTTTGTTTCATGATTTTTCCCATTGAAAAAAATATCTTTTTGTCATTACCAAGCTGAAAATATTTACAGTAAAATCACTTCTACCAAAATGTTATCTAATTTGACAATATGAAAGCCTGGAGACACTGTAATAAAGGCAACAGTGCATTATTAAATATGACCATGATGTTGTGATTTTAGCTGAACAAGTCAGCTAAATGACTTCCATGTATTCTGTTTTTTCTCTCTCTCTCTCTCTCTCTCTCTCTCTCTCTCTCTCTGGCATTCCACTGGTTTGGAAATGCCTGGTTTTACCATGTAGCCCCCTTTCAACTCTGATTCTTTGACTCTTGTTCCAAAAGTGCTGATCAACTTGCCCAAAGGGGACAGTTTGGCCTCTTTATTTATATAGGATGAAGGGGGGAGGGGAGATAGGACAGCAGGTCGGGCACTCACCTTGCACACAGGTGATACCACATACGGTCACCTGAGTTCCACCATGAATGATCTCTGAGCACAGAGCTAGGATAAGCCCTGAGCACTTCCAGGTGTGGCTCCCAAAAGAAGGCAAAGAACAGGGTGTATTAGGCAAAGAATGTGCTATGGCGCGTGAGGGGAGGGACTCCAAGCCCCTGAAAGCACCATGCTCTGAGCAGCCCTGTGTGGAAGGGCTCCCATGATACTCAGGACAGCATGGGGTACCAGGGCTTGAACAAAGTTGGCTGCATGAAAGGCATGCACCTTATCCTCTGTATTAACTGTCTGAACCAGGTTGGTTCCTTCTTATACTGCATATGAATGAGGTTATTCAGTGTTCGTCTTTCTCCTCTGACTTACTTCGTTTGATGCCCCCTACTTCCACCCATCTGATTGCGAAAGACAAGGTTTCATCATTTCTTACAGCTGAGAAGTATTCGGTTGCATGTAATATAGCACATCTTTATCCATTCATCTGTCTGCCTTTGTTTTGTTTCCAAATCTTGGCTATTATAATTATGCTGCAGTACATACATGCAGGTGTGAATATATCTTTTTCTAAATCTGTTCCTTTTTTCTTTGGATATATTCCTAGGAGTGGAATTCCTGGATCATGTGGTTGTTTGTTTTTAATATTTTGAAAACCTGCCATACTATTTTTCATACATTAGACCAGTTTACATTCCCAACAGTTGACGCAGGGTGCTTTTTCTCCATAACCCCACCAGCACTTATTTCCAGGACTTTTCATTGTAGACCATTTTCACGAGTGTAGATGGTATCTCATTATTTCAGTTTGCGTTTTCCTGACAATCAGTAGTGATGGATATTTTTTCTGGGGCATATCAACATATATTGCTAGTATTTTTTTTTAAATTTTTATTAGTGAGACACCATGAGGTACAGTTGTAGACTTACAAATTTTTGTGCTTGGGTTTCAATTATACAATGATCAAATACCCATCCCTCCTCCAGTGCCCATTTCCCACCACCACGGATCCCATTATCCCTCCCACCCCCCATTCCCCCCATCCCACCCTGCCTCTGTGGCAGGGCATTTCCTTTTGTTCTCTCTCTCTTATTGGGTGTTGTGGTTTGCAAAAGAAGCATGCTGAAAGTAGACTATAGATCAAACATGATATTGCTAGTATTTTGATAGGAATTGTGTTAAGCTTATTGATAAATCTGGAGATAATTGATGTCTTTACTGTGTTGAACCTTTCAATCTGTTATATATATATATTATATATATGTATGTATGTATAAATCTATTGAATTCAGTCTTTTTTAGTAGAATTTTTCTGTTTTTCAGCATATTTGTGTCTATTTTACTAGGTTTATATCTAGTTATTTTATTTGAAGCTATTATTATAAAAATTTTTACTTAAAAATTTTATTCCAACTCTACGTTGCTAGTTAGTAGAAACTTGGTATTTTTAGTGTGGTAGACTTGTATCCTAAAATTATGTCCTAACACATAAATGTTAGGAGTTTTTCTCATGTGTTATAAGGCATTTTCTATATGGACAATCCTGTCTGATAAATAGACATCACTTTGTTTCAGTATCCTTAAGATTATGCAGGCAAGAAGAGTAATATTAGACAAAGAAGTAACATGGGCACAGACTTAGAGGCATGAGATAGCAAAGGTTGGGAGATGTGGACTCCATATTCTGGAACGTCTAGTGTGTGAAGTGGGCAGCGATGGCACATAAAGAAAGGAAAGACCATTTATTTATTTGGTCTTTCATCCCATTAAATAGAGGAACCCATTAAGAAGGTGTGAGCCAATCAGGATCACGTTTGACACAGAACATTTGGCAATCACTCTGTGCAGACTGGATTGGAGAGACCTGGTCTCCATAGAGAACCCAGATAGACAGATATAGACAGGCTCCGGCATAGTTATAGTTATAGTTATAGTTATAGTTGTAGTTACAGGCTTCAGCATAGACAAATGCCAGAGCCTGCAACTATAAAAACAAAATGGTAAACAATTTAGGAGATTTTATAATGACTGAGCAATAGCAGAGATATGGAAGGAGAAATGGAGAGAATGCCGGCAAGAAAGAGATTGGATTCAAGCACTATTTGGAAATAAAATTTGATAGAGCCTAACATCTGAGCAGATGGGGACCAGGAAAAGAGGGGATAAAATGAGTGAAAAGGTCAGGTTTGAGCATCTTAGTAGAATCTAGACCCAGTCACAGGAGTTATGGATTGTTCCACATAAATTGATTTGATAAGCTTAGGGGGATTCAGTTGAAAGAAAAACTTCACTCTTTTTTGTCTCCTTACTTCATTAAATACTCAGCACTTCCCACACTTAGGTGCTCCTGCACTCCAAACAGTGCCACAGTGGGCAGTACAAGGTGTCTGGCAGCTGCCAGTTCACTGGGCATGACAGATGCCGGAGCCTGTAATTATAAAAACAAAAAGGTATTTGATAATGGCTAAATGCGTAGGATATTCTGGAAACAGTACGTAAGAGATAACCATTAGTCAACCCCAGGGGTAAAGAGAGATTTTCTGGAAGAAATAATTCAAGGATTTAATCTCCAAGAATGAGTAAAGAGAGTGAGAGGTATAAAGTTGGGTTTTTGTCGTTGTTGTCTTTTGGGTGGTGGTTGTTGTTTTCTGTCGCTCTAGGACCATAGCAGGAAACCAGGCTCTATGTGGAGGCAGCAGTCTGCAGCTCTCCTCCTACCATTCCGGCCAACAACGAACCCTGGGTTCAACACCCTGTAGACATGGGGAGCTCCTTAGATGGGCCACTGAGCCGTTTCCATGGCTCATGGTCGATGCAGTCCACATGTGATGGATTCCAATAAAAGCACCTTCAGGATCTGGCCCTGACAGCTCAACAGCTGCGTCCTCTTTCTGCTTTAGCTTTGTTTTTCTCTCGTCGCTGTCACCTGTTAAGGCTATTCTCTCTCTCTCTCTCTCTCTCTCTCTCTCTCTCTCTCTCTCTCTCTCTCTCTCTCTCTCTCTCTCTCTCCCCCCCCTCCCCCTTCTCTCTCCTTCTCTCTCCCTCTCTCCCTCCCCATCTCTCTCTCATTGTAGTAAAAGGTAGTGTTGTTTTCTGGGACACCCCAGAATTTCGGCCTTACATGAAAGGAGGTGAAGGCAGAGTAAATAAGGGTGTGAGTGGTCGAACCATACAGACATTTTACCCTCCAGCCTCTCTCAGTAACCAAAAGTAAAATTAAAAATAAAAAAACAACCTGCAAATGTTGCTGGGATAACTGGGTATCATCATGCAAACAATGAATTTGGATTCCCTACCTCATCCAATACTCAAAAATTAATTCATAGACCTAGATATAAGGGGCAAACACTATATGACTCATAAAAGCAAACAGGTGTATTGGTTCAAGCTATAGTTTCCCTTTACAACACCAAGAGAACAAGAAAAATAATAAGCATATTGGGCATAACAAAAATTAAAATGTTTGTATTGCATAGGATGCCATAAAAAAAGCTGTAAAGGTAATCAACAGAACGGAAGAAAACATTTGCCAATATGGCATCTGACAGGGATTAGTATGTAGATTATATAAAGAAGTCAGACAATGCCAGATCCTAGCTATTGTAAGAAGTGCTGCAGTGAATGTAGGTGTGAATCCATGCTTTCAAGTGAGAGTTTCATGTTCTTTGGAGAGATCCCTGGGGATGGGACTCCTGGGTCATATGGTGACTCAGTTATCTACACTTTCCAGTGGGCAAGCTGGCTGGAAATAGGAAGCTCGGGGCTTGGCTAGACCCAAGGAAGAAGGCATGAGGAAATTAGCCTTTATAAAAGGTTGGTACTGGGAGAGCTTGGAGAAAAAATACAGTGGGTAAGGTGCTTGTGTTACACCCAGGCCACCCAGATTTGATCCCCAGCACCCCACCTGGCCTCTTGAGCCCCACCAGGAGTCATTCCTGAGTGTAGGAAAGGGAGGGAAAGAGAGAGGAGAGGAAGAGGGAAGGAGGGAGGGAAGGTAAAAATAAAGGCAGGGAGGGGAGAAGGGATAGGAAGGGAAGGGAAGAAAGGAGAGAAGGCAAGGCAAAGCAAAGCAAGGCAAGGCAAGGGAAGTCGGGGCGAGGCACTAGCGTTACTCAACAGTCCAATTTTGCGGTGTGCTGGCGATTCTGTCGATGCTGTGCTGGCCGTTGGCGCATCATTCTCCCTCGAGTGTGAATGGTGGCTCTAGTTTTAAGCTTAAAGGCCACTTAATTTTGTGAGGAGCAGAGGGTGAGTCTGTGATGATACATCACCACAGACAATTCCACAAGCCAAGACAGGGGTGCAGCAGGTAAGGAACCCAGGAGGAGGGTCCCCCCCAGCACCCCACACAGGTCTTGGTCCCCTTTCCTAGACGAGGGACGGGGCAGTAGAGGCTCCTGTGCCCCACCCGAGCTTCACCTGTTTCCTCCTGTTTGCTCCTATAGCAGACGTCAACTTGGACATAGCGAAGCCTTTCAAAGCAAACCTGAGTTTCACCAAGCTGGACCAGATGAGCCACTTCTTACAGAAGATCAGAAGTGCCCACATCCGAGAGACGGCCGGCCAGGCTGACGCCACCACGAGCAGAGAGGAGCCCCTGGCCCCCAAAGGCCACCGGAGAAAGTCCCTGAAGCCCAGAGCTGCTGGCGATGGTGGCCCCGAGACCCCTTTTCAGGAAACCCTGTGGAGAATCGTGTCCTGCTTCCAAAAAATCTCTGTCCACACCACTCAGATAGTGGTCTCCATGGAAACCATCCCGCACCCGCGGAAGCCATGCCTGACAGCGTCCTTATCGGCCCTTTCTGGGAGCCTTCACGTGAGAACCGCAGCCAGAGCCCCTGGTGAGCCCTGGAGGGAAGTGGGGGGGGATGGTGGGCACCCCAACTGCATGCGAAGGGAAAAGCTGTCCCGCCCTTTAGACCGGGATGTCTCTGGCTTGTGAGTGTTTAGCCATACTTCACAGCAGTCCTTTGAGTCCAAATGCCTGAGTACCCTAAACCAGTTTCCCAAAATAGGCAGTAAGGCCCCCTGGGGGGTTCTGGACTGATGTGGAGATGGGGGAGGGGTACAGAGGGGCAGTACCCTCCAACGCACAGAAGGTAAATTGTGCGGGGTGCTTAGTGGCTTTTTTCCCCCGAAAACGGAGTGATAAGCCAGATGAACTTGGGAGAACTGTCCTAAAACTGCTCCTCTCCCACTCCTTGGGGATTCTCATCCTGCCACCTTTATACCTGTGTACCCCTAAATTTCCTTTTACTGAGAATAGCTGTTGCAGACCTGGGGAATGTTAGGGTTTTTGGCCATTTAGCTCACGACGGAAAAAAAAACCAGTATCTCAGCTGGGTAGGTGTGCCACCCAGATGCCCGGGTTGCCCCAGGGGCAAAGGGGCAGCCAGAGTGGAAGGCGAACGTGGGGGTCCTGGGCCTCAGCAAGTTGCTGCATTTCCCTCCTTCCTCTCCGGGTTCCATGGCCCCTACGTTCTGGCAGAAGGCTGGCCAAGGTGAGAAATAGCTTCAGTCACAGACACTGCTACTGTACCCACAGGCACAGTGCCAGACAGTGGGAGATGTCTCTTTCCACTTGAGTTTGCAAAAAATCGGGCTAGCAGGGTTTGGGGGAGAACCGGCCGACACTGCCCTGTGCCACTTCATGGGCGGGCCTGTGCCCCTGGACCCCAGCAGCTGGTGACGGGCTCTGGCACGGACACTGAGGAAACACAGGGAAGGCGCTGGAGCCAAGCATTTGGAATCAGTGGCCATGTTTCACACCAGAAATCCTTGTGACCAAGCCAGGCAAGAGGACTATGTATTTTTTCTGTCATATTAAAGTTAGAGATGAAAAACGTAAAGGCCAAGGGATGGGAGAGGCTCTGCTCAGTGCTCTCTTCATCCTCATTTCTTCTTATTTTTTTTTAAATGTAGGAGTATTGCTATTTATTCAACCATTGATTAGGCTGATTGAATTGGGCATGAACTCCACCTTACTTTTTTTTTCCTTTTTATAAATTTATTTTTTGAATCATCATGAAAGCAGTTACAAAGCTTTTGAATTTAAGTCTTGGTCATACAATGATGAAACACCCGTCCATTCACCAGTTCCCATTTTCCACCACCAAAAGCCCCAGTATACCCCCCACCCCAGGCCCTCCCCCTACCTGTGGGGCAGATGATTTCCACATTACTCTCTCTCTACTTTGATCACATTCATTATTTCAACACCAGACCCACCATTGATGCATTTTACCCCAGCACTCAGATCTGCCTAAAAGGCAACCGTAGACCATTTGTTTTCTGTTGCTGATTATGGATAACATACGATGTCGCACGGCTGCATAGTAGCCGCACGATTTTGGAATTCCGAAATTTTAACAATTAAATATGGAGGGATTTCTGCCAAAACCTGCTGGGTTCCGATATTTGTTCCTGAGTCTCTGGGATCATGGCCATTAAGCAGCTTGATCAGGAGCCAGAAAGACTGTTCGTGGACGGCAACTCAAGGGTCTCCTTTGGGTGGGAGGAAAGGGCCGGCTCCACCCCCATTCTGTGAGTCCCGGCGTGTCTCGTCACTGTGGCCCAAACCTGACTGTCCAATGGCCTCTGGAGGATGGCGGCCACCAAGCCACCAGGGGGATCAGGCCAATGCACGAAACCTATTCCCACCTGGGTGGCCCAGCACTGGTAACCTACTGTGGGGACCGGACACATTTCTGCCAAAAACTGTTAGGTTCCGAGATTTATTTCTGAATCTCTGGGATCATGGCCATTAAGCAGCTTGATCAGGAGCCAGAGAGGCCATTCATGGGTGGAGACTCAGGGTCTTGTTGGGGCAGGGAGGAAAGGGCTGGCTCCACCCCTCCTCCCGTGAGGCCCCACTTGTCTTGTCACTGTGGGCCCAAACCTGACTGTCCAATGCCTCTGGAGGATGGTGGCCCCCAAGCTGCCAAGGGGGAGCAGCTGGAGGGACAGCACCCTTTCCCCCCGGGGTAGCCTGGCACTGGTAACCTACTGCGGGGACCAGACACTTTTCTGCCAAAAGCCGTTGGGTTTCAAGATTTGTTTCTGAGTCTCTGGGATTATGGCCATTAAGCAGCTTGATCAGGAGCCAGAGAGGCCGTTTGTGGGCAGCAACTCAGGTTCTTATTGGGGCAGGGAGGAAAGGGACGGCTCCACCCCCATCCCATGAGGCCCCACATGTCTTGTCACTGTGGGCCCATACCTGACTGTCCAATGACCGCTGGAGGATAACAACCACCGAGCCGCCAGGGGGAACAGGCCAAGGAACAGAACCTATTCCCACCTGGGATGGCCTGGCGCCAGTAACCTACTGCAGGGACCAGATGCATTTCTGCCAAAAGCCGCTGGGTTCCGAGATTTATCTCTGAGTCTCTGGAATCATAGCAGTTAAGCAGCTTGATCAGGAGCCAGAGAGGCTTTGCCTCCGGTTATGTAGCTGAGCCGGAGGTGGTTTGTGGGTGTGTCTCCCACATACCTATCTTTTGGCCGTTTACTTTCTTGGTAAACTTGGCCCCAAGTTGTTGGGGTCTGGCCAAAGGCACAGCAGCAATTTTGGGGTATCTAGAAGTCTGAAGGCACCATCAGTCTGCTGATGCACTCGCTTTCATTTCTTATTTTTATCATTTGCAAAACACGCAATTGGTCCCCCCTCAGAGATGCACACTCTGCCGAATGGGCCTGGCAACTCAGAGCCAGCATTGCTCAGCAGGGCCACACTGGGCGGGGCTGTGGAGCTGTGAGGCGCCAAGGACTAGTTCTGCATTCCGCCCTTTCAAGCTAGTCCCCGCACCCCCATTTTGTTTTTTCAGTAAACATCTCAAAATCCAATCAGAATTTCTCCCTGAACTATACACTCAAATTCCCATTCTAATTTTATGACTAGTTTTCCGCTTCATACCAGAAAACCTGTGCCCACTTCCTTTTATAGTTGTGCTTTTAAATCTAGTCAGATGCCAAAATTGAAACAATAGCTTGAAGTCAGATGCGCTTTACAGAAGTCTAATGTAGACATCACAATGCATGTGAACAGACCAAATCAAAGCTGAAGGTAGCCATGTATTTCGGAAGTGTAATAAACACAACTCTTATCTTCCCTGCATTTCTGCCTGTGCAGTGACATATTCAAGCAATTTTAGGAAGATAATGGAGTCAGTAAAATAAGTATAATTGCATGAAATAAGACTGTGTTAGATTCTCATACTGGTGCTGGCTCATTTCTAAGAGCTTGTAATTGAGAAACTACTACATTTTTCAAAATTGATTTTTAAGTAATATAACCTTATTAGAAGTAAAATATAAGCTTTTTATCTGTGTTTTTATCAATTTTTAAATTGCAGTAGCATTGCATTGCAATGTTGTATGTTTCAGGTCAACATCACTGAAAACAATATGGTAAATATTGCATTAAGTTTACCAGTTGAAGGACAGAAAAATATAAGCTTTGGTGAATATTAATTTTTTTGTATAGTCATTTTTCTTAAAAACTCAAGCCTTACAACTTGGATGAAATACATGTATGTACATTTCAAAGTATATTTTTGATAAGTGGTAGAGAAAATCCCCTCTCTCCCCCCCCCAAAAAAAATTCGACTTTTTTGGGTACTCTTCAAGTGACATCATTTGACATCCAACCAAAATTATTTTATAGTCTGTCTTTGAGCTCAAATGGAGTTAATGTCAGATTTTTATAGTTGGACTCTAATGCAGAAATACTTAACTGTGTCTTTGATTTTATAGTTTATATAACTATTGTGACCATCTGCAGCAGCTGCACTTTTCAAATTATTTGCTGAACCAAATTGAGCACAGTGACAAAAGTAGTCATCTCAGATGTACTATTAAACAGAGAAAGAACAAGGAGCATTACCCTAGCACCGTATAGCCATCTGCTGTACAGATGTTATTGTATAGAATGACTTAAGATAAAATAATTGTAGAAAATTTTCATTAAAACCTCAACAATTTGCACTTGTTTATGCGAATCTGCATAACTCCCCAATGAGACAACACACTTGGGGTTTCTTTGGTTCTCACTCACTTTCTCTTTGATCCTTTTTGATGTGCTGACTTTAATAAACACAGTCAAAAACGCTGTGCAAAAACATCATGGAAAAATCTACAAAGGAACAATTATAGCCGCAGAAACTACTCTAATCCCTAACTTACGCAAGCTATTTTTAGCGAAATATTTTTTTAACACTCTTTATGTGACAATGTTATATAAACAGAGTACAACGGTCCTTTCCAGATGAGTTTTAATTTAGGAGCTGAAGTAGATTTGTAGGGCTCAAAGACTCTTGTGTTCTCCAGAATATTCCGCAAAGCACAGTGGAAATGTGTTATGAAGCGCAGTAGCATGTTTTTGTCACTCTGAGAAGTTGCAAAATTATTTATGTTTGCCTCATGATTCTATTTCATATCATCTAAATTGATAAGCATTGGATAAATGTTTAGGGAAAGGAATAATAAAAGATTGAGAGGGAGGACATTCATTTTCTTCGCAAGACCTTGTCAATACTTTGAAACCTGACATGCTCTACTACCCACTTACTGGCCTTTCAAACTAAGTAGGAAGCAGATATTAATTTCATCATTTGAAGCAAATGGTTAAATAGTTTTCACTTTAAGGACATGTGAAATTTTGCACTCCTCCTAGTTTCTTATGGCCCTGCATTACGAGATTTTACATGTTTTGTTTTGTTTTTCTTAAATTTTTCTCCACAGAGTGATTTTAATGTTGACTTGTCATAGCCTAACTCATATTTCTGCTAGAATACGGATCTTCTCCCATATGTCTTTGGGCAAGTGGCCCTGCCACTTTGATTTT